ACAGGCTTGAGCCACCGCGCCCGGCCTGTGAAAAATATTTTTTACCTCTGATGCTGAGAAATGAAAATCGTATAGAAGACATATAAACTATCCTCAAAGGAATATTAATATTTTACCAGAAGATAAATATTAAATTTTCCTGAACTTTTATTACAATTCAATCTTGGGTAATATTTGAATACTAAATTATGCCATGTTACCATAAAATTATTTAAGGTTGCTCAAATGGACGTTTTCTTTTTGTTTTGTTTTGAGACAGAATTTTCGCTCTGTCACCCAGGCTGGAGTGCAATGGCATGATCTCAGCTCACTGCAACCTTCGTCTTCCTGGTTCAAGCAATTCTCCTGTCTCAGCCTCCCGAGTAGTTTGGATTACAGGCACCCGCCATCATGCCTGGCTAATTTTTGCAGAGACAGGATTTCACCATGTTGGCCAAACTGGTCTCGAACTCCTGACCTCAAGGTGATCTGCCCGCCTCGGCCTCCCAAAGCGCTGGGATTATAGGCCTCCCAGAGCCACCACATCTGGCCTGAATGCTATGTTTTAAAATATTATAGTTCATTTGGAATTTTGACATAAGTACATTTCTAATATAGGCTGTCCAGAAGATACATCACAATTTCATGAGCTAGTTTACATTACATAGGCAAATCTATAATTTGTGATCTATAAATCCTGTCACCACAGATCTTTAGCAGTCTTTAAACTGTTCTTTTAAGAGAAAAGAATGCTTGCAGTTTCCTTATTTCATATACCTGATATATTTTTCTCTACCTCAATAAAAACAGAAAGTGTGAAAAAGAGACAGAATCATCAGTAATGGACCAAATGATAATAGGACAAATAGGTTTCCCCCTGTGGATTAATCTATATGTGGCATAGCCTTAAGTTTTCCTACTTATTTGACAATATAATCAAAAGTTTAAAATCTGCACAAATCTTATAAATACAGACATTCCATGTTTAGCAACTTACGGCACAAAAATAATCAGAGAAGCAGGTAAGGAGATGTACATAAGGATGTTCACTGTGATGTTTATAATAGTGAAAAACAATGCAACTTAAATGTGCACCATAAGGAATTAGTAAATTATGGTAGAGCCACAGTATGGAATACCAAACAGCCATTAATGATAACCAACTGCGTATTCATTGATTAATTAGGTCAAAAAAAGAGTAAGTCCAGTTGTATGTGAACACATAGGAGAAAGATTAGAATATACATAAAATAGTGGTTATCACTCATTGGTGGAATTACCAATGATTTTTTTTTCTTTTTTCTTATTTGCATTTTCTAATGTTTTAATGCAATGAGATAAATTGCTGCACAAGAATGACAGGGGGAAAGAAACGAAAAGTAGATGTCAATGTGCATCACCTGGGAATTTATAGTCTTTCATCAAAATAAGTTATGCTTTAAATCTGACTAGAAATTGTTGAAAAAAATATTAATTATGTTGTAAAAATATGACACTGCAGAGACAGGAAGTCAACTTGTTTCCCCATTCCTGTCACTAACTGGAAAGAACCCTTCCTCAATTTCCAACAGATGTTGAGGAGTACTTCTGAGTCTGAGTAAAATCACATAATTTTCCTCCTTTCTTTATGCTTTATAGCTTGTATAACTGTCCAGATAAGGTGGAGAATCTATGAGAAAGGGACACATAGTTCCAGGGATTGAAGTGATGATATGTAAAAACTGAAAGTTTCTTTTCCTTCTATATCCTTTGGCCTACAGGCTAAAGAGCTACACATTCACTTATGCTTTAAAAAAAATTTTTTTTTTTTTTTTGACACAGGGTCATGCTCTGTCACCCACGCTGGAGTGCAGTGGTACAATTATAGCTCACTCTAACCTCGATCAGGCAATCTTCAGCCTTAGCCTCCTGAGTAGGTAAGACTAGAGGCACATACCATCATGGCCAGAAAATTTATTTTCTATTTTTTTTTGTAGAGACAGTGTCTTTCTATGTTGCCCAGGTTGACTTAATGGTTTAATAAAGCATTAATAAGACAAAGCATATCTAAAACAGTTAAGGCTGGGTGCAGTGGCTCAAGTCTGTAATCTCAGCACTCTGGGGAGCAAAGGCAGGAGGATCACTTGAGCCCAGGAATTTGAGATCAGCCTGGACAATGTAGTGAGACCCCTATCTCTACAAAAAAACTTAAAAAAAAATTAGCCAGGTCTAGTGACATCAGTCTACAGTCCCAGCTACTCAGGAGGCTGAGGTGAGAGGATCACTTGAGTCAGGGAGGTTGAGGGTGCAGTGAGCCAAGATAGCACCACTGCATCCTAGCCTGACTGACAAAGCAAGACTCTGTCAAACAAATAAATAAATACACAAACTCGCTACACGTTTATGTTTTTTATATTCCCTGCACACTATTTTCATTCCTTTTTTTTTTTTTTTTTTTTTAGAGTGGGGTTTCACCTTTGTCACCTAGCCTGGAGTCCAATGGCGTGATCTCAGCTCACTGCAACCTCGGCCTCCCAGGTTCAAGTGATTCTCCTGCCTCAGTGTCCCGAGTAGCTGGGATTACAGATGTCTGCCACCATGCCTGGCTAAATTTTTTTGTATTTTTAGTAGAGACGGGGTTTCACTATGTTGGCCAGGCTGGTCTCAAACTCCTGATGTCAGGTGATCCGCCCGCCTTGGCCTCCCAAACTGCTGGGATTACAGGTGTGAGCCACCGTGCTTGGCCTCATTCCTTATTTATTACTTTCAACAACCCTACGAGATTAAGTGTTATTAATCCTACTTTATAAAGCCTGGTTCAGAGATTAAGTAATTGACATTAGGTCCATAAGTAGTAGACTCAGGGTTCGATCCCAGATCTGTTTAATTCCAAAGTTCTAGCTCTTTCTACTACATGACATTGCTTGCCTTTCATTCAGAGGCTATCAACAGAAAAAAATATAAATTTAAAATAATGCCTTAGGGGTAACAAAATAATGGACAGCTGACTACAACTTCTAATCAGGTCTATCAAACTGCTCTTCAGTTAGTTTACACTTTATAGGTTCATTTACAGGGTTGGTTAAAAGGGTAAGTAGGTTTCCATTACAGAATAATCTCTTCTTGACTGAAGAATTTTTCAAACGACCATATATGTATCACACTATTTTATCATTGCTATTGCAGACAAAATCTTAAAAGGAGAAAACACCTACTAACCAGAAACAGCAAATAGTTTATTATCAACAATGTAGGGGAAAAAAGTACAGTATTTTGTTCTTTTTAAATAAAATTAGTTATAACATAAAATAGAGAACTGTGTAAAGATCTAGGTTCAACACTGATTTAGAATTAAAAACTACTTAAAAAACTCATTATCAAGCCATGCACAGTGGCTCACTCCTGTAATCCCAGCACTTGGGAGGCTGAGGTGGGCAGATCATTTGAGGTCAGGAGTTCGAGACCAGCCTGCCCAACATGTTGAAACTCTGTCTCTACTAAAAATACAAAAATTAGCTGGGTGTAGTGGCAGGTGCCTATAATCCCAGCTACTCCGGAGGCTGAGGCAGGAGAATCACTTGAACCCAGGAGGTGGAGGCTGCAGTGAGCACCACTGCTCTCCATCTAGCCTGGGCAAAAGAGCGAGACTCTGGAGACTCTGTCTCTAGCCTGGGAGACAGAGTGAGATTCCATCCCCAAAACAAAACAAAACACAAACCATTAACAGTGGCTGAGCGTGGTGGCTCATACCTGTAATCCCAGCACTTTGGGAGGCGAGGCAGGTGGATCCCTTGAGACCAGGCGGTTGAGAACAGCCTGGCTGACATGGCAAAAGCCCATCTGTACTAAAAATAAAAAAATTAGCCGGGTATGGTGGCACACGCTCATAATCCCAGCTACTCAGGCAGCTGAGACATGAAAATTGCTTGAACCTGAAAGGCAGAGCGTACAGTGGGCAGCACTGCACTCCATCCAGCCTGGGAAACAGAGGAAGACTCTGTCTCAACAAACAAACAAACAAACAAAAAAACCACTAACAAGACTGAGCTAAGAATAACCTCTGTACTCTAACAAAGATCCAAAAAGCCAGTTTTCAACTATTGTATAATTAACCACTTAGGAACCTCAGGTATTTCAGAATATCTATTTACATTCTCAAACTGACATGCTAATTACATACCAATCCTGAGGTGCTTTACTTAGCTGAACTATGTAGTCTGTCTAGTCTAAGTTACCACATGTTTTTTAGTTTCTTCACTTAAAAGTACTTCTTCTTCCTGTTATAAAATCAACACATGTACATGGTATTTTTTTTTTTTTTTTTTGAGAGAGAGTCTCACTCTGTGGCCCAGGCTGGAGTGCAGTGGCACAATCTTGGCTCATTGCAACCTCCGTCTCCTGGGTTCAATCAATTCTCCTGCCTCAGCCTCCCAGGTAGCTGGGATTACAGGTGTCTGCCACCACACCTGGCTAATTTTTGTATTTTTAGTAGAGATGGGGTTTCGCCATGTTGGCAAGGCTGGTCTAGAACTCCTGAACTCAAGTGATCCAACTGCCTTGGCCTCCCAAAGTGCTGGGACTACAGGCATAAGCCACCATGCCTGACCTGAAACTAAAAATTTAAAAGCCAAAAATCTCTCCACTCAGAGATAAGCAGAGTTTGTATATTCATATATATCCTTTGGAAACTTCTGTGTGATTATGTGTGCATACTTATGTATTTACAAAAATGGAACTAAAAAATCCTTTGTATTATCTTCTTAAACTTTCACACATTGTGACCATATTTCCTTGTCACTAATGGTATCCACAGTATGGATAATTAATCACCTACTGTTGAACATTTAGGCATTGTCTATTTTTTGCAACTATAAACAATGCTTCGATGAATACCCTTGAATTAAAATATCTTCTAATTCAGCCTTTTCAATAATTTAGGCCTGCCTTGTTACTCCTAATTTCAAATAACATAGTGTTGACATTATAATTTTAATGAACATAAATAACATATTAATTCATCTTTTTGAACAAAAAATTCTTACCTTGCAATAACAGATTCAATTGGCATGATATCAGGCACATAGTGAGCCATAGGGGAAACAAAGTGTCCATCTAAGATCTTACAATCTGATTGCTCTTCAATCTAAAAGAAAATCAAAACTAAGATGTATGCAAGAAAACTAAGATATCTTGGTCTATCATGGATGTTCTTCTAATAAAAAGTTCTATTCAATTAAAATCATGTTTTCAGCACCTACCATGTAAACTTTTTGTGCCACTGTACTTTATTATTAATTATTCTATGTGCATAATCATTGAGTGTATTATAGGGTACATGTGATGTTTTGATACCAGCATACAAGTTGTAATGATCAAATCAGGGCAATTGGGGTATCCATCATCTGAAGCACCTATCATTTCCTTGTGTTAGGAACATTCCAATTTCACTCTTATTTCAAAATATACAATAAATTATTGTTAATTATAGTGACTCTATTATGCTATCAAATACTAGATCTTATTGATTCTAACTGTACATTTGCACCCGTTAATCATCTCCATTCTATCTTCCCTTCCCTGCTACTTTTCTTAACCTCTGATAATCATCAATCTACTCTTCATCTCCATGAGTTCAATTTTCAAAAATATTTAGCTCCCATGTATGAGTGAAAACACATGAAATTTGTCCTTCTGTGACTGGTTTAATTTACTTAACACAATGTCCTTCAGTTCCATCCATGCTGTTGCATATGACAAGATTTCATGCTTGCTTATGATTGAATAATATTTCACTGCATATTTGTACATTTTCTTTATCCATTCATCTGCTGGTGAACACTTAGGTTGATTCTGCATCTTGGCTACTATGAACAGTGCTACAATAAACATGGAAGTGCTCATATCTCTTTGATACAGTGATTTCCTCTCTTTTTCATATATACCCAGTGGGGGGATTGCTGGGTCATACGGTAGTTCCAGTTTTAGCTTTTGAGGAAGTTCCATACTGTTCTCCACAGTGGTCATACTAACTTACATTCCCACCAACAGTGAACGAAGTTTCCTCTTCCTCTTTCTCTACATCCTCACCAGCTTTTATTGTTGCCTGTCTTTTGAATAAAAGCCATTTTAACTAGGGTAAATGATATATCACTGTAATTTTGATTTGCATTTCTCTGATGATTAGTGATGCTGAGCATTTTTTCATATACATGGTTGGCCATGTGTATGTCTTCTTTTGAAAAATGTGAAATGTTGGCCAGGCGCGGTGGCTCACGCCTGTAATCCCAGCACTTTGGGAGGCCAAGGCAGGCGGATCACCTGAGGTCAGGAGTTCGAGACCAGCCTTACCAACATGGTGAAACCCTGTCTCTACTAAAATACAAAAAATTAGCCAGACGTGATGGTGTGCGCCTATAGTTCCAGCTACTCAGGAGGCTGAGGCAGGAGAATCACTTGAACCCCGGAGGCAGAGGTTGCAGTGAGCCAACATCGAGCCACTACACTCCAGCCTGGCAACACAGCAAGACTCCGTTTCAAAAAAACAAAAGAAAAATGTAAAATGTCTATTCAGATCTTTTACCCATTTTAAAATCAGATTATGATTTTTTCCCTATTAATTTATTTGAGCTCCTTATATTCTGGTTCTTAATTCCCTGTCAGATGAGTAGTTTGTAAACATTTTCTCCGATTCTGTGGACCACTGTGGTTTTTAAAGACATGGTTCCTGCCTATACACATTTCTTTTCCTTCCATATCCTTTACTATAATCTAGTTGAGAAAATAAACTATAAATAAATCACATTCATACACTGACGTGCAATAACTCAAAATAAACTACTAGTTAAGAGAATTCAACAACATTCAACAGTATAAAAATAATTGTTTACAAATTTCAAAAATAAGTTACCATAATCAAATAAGGGTTGACATCAAATATATTACAATGGTTCAGTGTCAGGCAATCTGATGTAGAGTCATGTCAACATAGTAAATAAGAAAAAAACGTAATTTCTATATATATAAAAAAAGCATTTGCTAACATTCAACACCTAAACTTATTTTCCCCTCCAATAAGCATTTTCTTTTTGTAGAGACAGGATCTCACTATGTTGCTCAGGCTAGTCTGGAACGCCCGGCCTCAAGCCTCCCAAAGTGTTGGGTATTAAGGCATGAGCCATTGTGTTTGGCCTAATTATTTCTTAAAAATTTCAGGTCAATAGTAAAAAAATTAAAGTAGCATTGAATTACCACATATTTTCATTCAAATCAGAAACAAAAACGTATCTGTGGATGATGTATATATCTAACTTTTAAAAAATTAATTAACTAATTAGTTAATTTTTGGGGAAATGGGGTCTCACTCTGTCACCCAGGCTGGAGTACAGTGCTGCCATCCTGGCTCACTGTATGCTTCACCTCCCAGGGTTCAAGCAATCCTCCCACTTCAGCCTCCAGAGTAGCTGGGACTACAGGCATACCACCACACCCAGCTAATTTTTACATTTTTTTGGTAAAGACAGGGTTTTGCCATGTCGCCCAGGATGGTGTCAAACTCCTGGGCTCGAGAGATCTGCCCACCTCGGCCTCCCAGAGTACTGGGATTACAGGTGTGAGTCACTGCACCTGACCTAGAATTTGTTTTTTAAAAAACTAGCTTGTCAAGCAATCTGCATCTTGGCTACTATGAACAGTGCTACAATCTGCCCGACTTGGCCTCCCAAAGTGCTAGGATTACAAGCTAGCTTTTTTTGTTTTGAAACAGAATCTTACTTTGTTGTCCAGGCTGGAGTGTGCTGGCGCGATCTCAGCTCACTGCAACCTCCCCCCCCCGGGTTCAAGCGATTCTCCTGCCTCAGCCTCTCGAGTAGTTGGGATTACAGGCGCACATCACTATGCCCGGCAAATTTTTTTTATTTTTAGTAGAGACGGGGTTTCACCATATTAAAAACCACCAGGCTGGTCTCAAACTCCTGAGCTCACATGATCCACCCATCTTGGACTCCCAAAGTGCTAGGATTACAAGTGTGAGCCACTGCACCCGGGACAAGCTAGTTTTTTAAAAAACAAATTATAGGTCAGGTGTAGTGACTCACACCTGTAATCCCAGTACTCTGGGAGGCCGAGGTGGGCAGATCTCTCGAGCCCAGGAATTCAAGATCAGCCTGAGCAATATGGCAAAAACTTTGTCTCTACAAAAAAATACAAAAATTAGCTGAACGTGGTGGCATGTGGCTGTGGTCCCAGCTACGTGGGAGGCTGAGGTGGGAGGATCACTGGAGTCCAGGAGGTCATGGCTGCAGTGAGCCATGACTGCACCACTGCAGTGCAGCTGGGTGACAGAGTGAGACCTTGTCTCAAAACAAAACAACATTTTGTTTTGTTTACAAAAAAAAAAAAATTTTTTTTTGAAATCAGCTGGACAAATGTCATCTATTAAATGACCCACATATTTTTGCAACTGACTTAAAACACTACTATTACTATGTACTAAACATCCATATATTTCTGCCAGTTATTTTCAATCCTTCATTAGGTCTTATTTGCCTACCTTTTATTTCTGCACCCGTATCATGCTGTGTTTATAACAGTAGCATTTTAATACTCATTGTTATATGACTGAACTAGTCTTTGTTTACAACTCTTCCTTTCCAGAGTATTCCTGATCTGATTTGATTCTCATGCATTTTCTCAAAATAATTTTAGGATGCTTTTATGGATGTAGGTTCTATGTTCAATACTTTAACTGAAATTGCATTACATTTTAAAAAATGCTTAAGGAGACATAATATCTCTATAAAACTGAATTTTTAATCCAAAAAACTTTCCAATTTAGTTTTTTATGCCTATTGGTATAGTTTTAAAGTGTTCTTCTTATGTATTCATTTTTATTTATTTTTATTTTTTGAGTCTTGCTCTGTCACCCAGGCTGGAGTGCAGTGAGTGCTATCTTGGCTCACTGCAACCTCTGCCTCCCAGATTCAAGTAATTCTCCTGCTTCAGCCTCCTGAGTAGCTGGGACTACAGGCATGTACCAGCATGCCTGGCTAATTTTTTTGTATTTTTAGTAGAGATGGGGTTTTGCCATGTTGGCCAGACTGGTCTCGAACTTCTGACCTCAAGTGATCCACGCTCCTCGGCCTCCCCAAGTGCTGGGATTACAGGCATAAGCCATCGCACTCAACCCTTTTATGTATTTTACGAGAATAAGTTATTTGATAAAGCAGCAGCACAAACTAATACATTATTAATTTTTTTTTTTTTTTAGACAGGGTCTCACTCTATTGCCCAGACTTGAGTACAGAGGCATGATCTCAGTTCACTGCAACCTCTGCCTCCTAGGCTCAAGCAATTCTGCTGCCTCCGCCTCCCAAGTAGCTGGGATTAGAGGCATGCACCACCATGCCCAGCTAATTTTTGTATTTTTAGTAGAGACGGGGTTTCACCACGTTGGCCAGCCTGGTCTTGAACTCCTGACCTCAAATGATCCACCACCTCAGCCTCCAGAAGTGCTGAGATGGAGCCACCGCGCCCAGCCCATTATTAATTATTAATAAAGGAAGCAGAACAAACTAATGTTAAAGGGAAAAATAGTGCAACAAATTAGTGTTCTGATAGCTGGCAACTTGGTAAGAAAAGACAATTTCAGAATTACACATATTATACATAACATGGATTTTAAAATTAAGCAAGATACAACCCAACAATAAAAAGATGGAGAACTCAATGTAAAAAGGAGCAAAGGTTTGAAAAGACAGTTCTCCAAAGAAGGTATACAAATGGCCAATTCACACTTGAAAAGATGTTCAGCCTCACAGCCATTAGGGCGTGGTCAAAACCACAAGGAAATACTTTTATACCCACTATGATGACTTGGACAAGTACAAAGTTGGTGTATATGGCAAAATCAGAATGTTTATTCACTGCTGGTGGGAATATAAAATAGTATAGTCACTTTGGAAAACAGTTTGATAGTTCGTCAAAAACTTAGAGTTATCATCATATGACCCAATAATTAAACTCTTCAGTATACACAAGAGAACTAAAAACACACATTCACACAAAAACTCATACTTGAGTATTCATAGCAGCACTATTTATAATAGCCAAAAAGTGAAAACAACCCAAATGTCCATTAATTTATGAATGGATAAGCAAACTGTGGTATACAATACAATAGATTATTATTTAGCTATACAAAAGGATTAAGTTCTCCTTGAATGTTCTGATGCTGTAAAAAAAAAAAAAAAAACTAAAAGGAAGTACTGACACATGCTACAACATGGATTAACCTTGAAAACATTATGCTAAGTGAAGAAGCCAGATAAAAAAAGCTACATATTGCATGATTCCATTTATAAGAAACGTCCACAGTAGGAGAACCCATAGAGACAGAGGGTACACTAGTGATTGCCAGCAGGTGGGGGAAGAGGCAAGGGAAAGTGACAGCTAATGGATACAGGGTTTCTTTCTAGGACAATGAAAATATTCTAGAATTAGTGACAATGTTGATGGCTGCACATCTTGGTAATATAATTTAAAAACCATTCAATTGTATATTGTAAAAGGGTGAATTTTATCTCCATTGCTTTTTTTTTTTTTTCTTTGAGACGGAGTCTCGCTCTGTCGCCGGGCTGGAGTGCTGTGGCATAATCTCGGCTCACTGCAACCTCCGTATCCTGGGTTCAAGCGATTCTCCTGCCTCAGCTTCCCGAGTAGCTGGAACTACAAGTGCGCGCCACCACGCCCAGCTAATTTTTGTATTTTTCTTTTAGTAGAGACGGGGTTTCACCATGTTGGCCAGTGTGGTCTCGATCTCTTCACCTCACGATCCTCTCGCCTCGGCCTCCCAAAGTGCTGGGATATCCTTGTCTCAGTTTTTAAAAACTAAGGCTAGTGGATCAGTAAGAATGCATTCCAAAATCTTAACAGCAATTCACTCTTGGGAGGGAAATGGAATTAGGTAGTGGAAAGTGGCAGAGATTAAAGGAGATTTTGTTTTTAACTTGGCACATTTTAAATTTTTTTAAGTTTATAATTTTTTAATAGAAAAAAATATAGAGGATAAAAATATTTGGCAAAATTTGAGGGTACAGAGAGAAATGTTATTAATTCAGAAGATACAGAAAGAACTTCTATGATGTAGAGGAGGGGTTTTCAATCTATAAAATTTTGTTCTTAGCAGTCGAACTCTTTTGAAAAGAGAAATCTAAAGATATCCAAAACATATGAGATGCAAGTACAGTTACTTTGGTTGAAGGGGAGTGAGGGATGTGTGAAGCTTGCCTATTTGTATCCCTTCTCCAACAATACATCAAAGTATGCAATTACATAAACCTAGAAATATTTTACAGAAAACCAGGTGCCTTCTTTAAAAAAAAGATTTCAAAAACATCCTTGTCTTCTCTAATTTTATAGCTTTTTCTTTCTACCATTCTCTCAGGAATTAACTGTATCCCATAATATTTTTCTTGGTGTTATTTAACAGTTGTTTGCTAATAATTTCTTATGTGCTGATTCTCCAACTAGATTACTCCCCTTTAATACTCACTATTCTTCTGTAACGTTGAGTAGTTTAACCCTCCTGAGCCTAAAGACAGAGAATGAGATCCAGAAATATCCGGCCTAAATACTTCTTTATACATTAGGCAAGTAATAAACATATGCTCCCAAATATACATGAACGTAGTTATTAACAACATTCAGTTAGTGCACAGATAGTATTATTTGTTTATTTTTGAGACGGAGTTTCACTCTTGTCGTCCAGGCTGGAGTGCGATGGCATGATCTTAGCTTACTGCAACCTCCACCTCCTGGGTTCAAGTGATTCTCCTGCCTCAGCCTCCTGAGTAGCTGGGATTATAGGCATGCGCCACCATGCCCGGCTAATTTGTATTTTTTTAAAGTAGAGACGGGGTTTCTCCACGTTGGTCAGGCTGGTCTGGAACTCCCAACCTCAGGTGATCCACCTGCCTCCGCCTCCCAAGTGCTGGGATTACAGGCGTGAGCCACTGCGCCCGGCCCACAAATAGTATTCTTTAAATATGAAATGAAAAATCCATACTGCACTCATATTTTAGTATTTATTGTTGTTATACTCCAATATGTAATCTATTCTTTTTTTCTGTTTTTCTGTTTTTCTCTCATTTGAATACCTTATCAATGTGTACTGGATAATCGCTTGAAACCAGATTCTGGCATCTTTCTCGATTTCCAATCATCTTTCTGAATTCAAAGAGTCTATTATGGGAAAGAAGACAAAAAGGAAAAAATTCATCTTTTATATCACCTACTAGGCATATTATAATTGAGACTGATTAACAGTAATTAAAAATTAGCAAATCCAGTTCATAAGCCATATTAAAACTTAATTTTGATCATTAAAGAAAGAGATTAGGCTGTTTTTTCCCAAACTGAACACTTTTTTCAGAAAAATGTGAGAAATAATATTGTTCAGAAAGTAATTAATACATATAAGACTCAAAATTAAAGGCACCAATCCTGAAAATTCGTTTTCTTTTTTTTTTTTTTCCGAGACGGAGTCTTGCTTTGTCACCCAGGCTAGAGTGCAGTGGCGCGATCGCACCTCACCGCTCTCACCTCACCGCAACCTCTGCCTCCCGGGTTCAAGCAATCCTGCCTCAGCCTCCCAAGTAGCTGGGATTACAGGCATACGCCACCACACCTGGCTAATTTTTGTATTTATTTTTTTGAGACAAGAGTCTCACACTGTCGCCCTGGCTGGTGTGCAGTAGCGCTATCTCGGTTCGCTGCAACCTCCACCACCCGGGTTCAAGCGATTCTCCTGCCTCAGCCTCTCCAGTAGCTAAGATTACAGGTGTCCCCACCATGCCCGTCTAATTTTTTGTATTTTTAGTAGAGATGGGATTTCAGTACATTAGCCAGGCTGTTCTCCAACTCCTGACATCGTGATCCGCCTGCCTCGGCCTCCCAAAGTGCTGGAATTACAGAGTGAGCCAGCGCACCTGGCCAATTTTTTTATTTTTAGTAGAGACGGTTTTACCATGTTGGCCAGGTAAGTGTGAACTTCTGACTTCGTGATCCGCCCACCTCAGTGCTGGGATCACTCTCCCAAAGTGCTGGGATTACAGGAGTGAGTCACCAATCCTGGCCGAAAATTCATTTTCTTAAGTCCAGATTTTCCTATGAGCTACAGTGTATTTCAGTTTTAAAGTCATTACAAATTCGGGTTACCCAAGAAGACTCAATCCTTGAAAACTACATACAATTCTTATTAGCTTAATAATTATTGAAGTAAAAAATCTACCCTGTGTTTCTGAGAGCTCTCTATTTAAAAAATCTGAATTATTTTTAAAATAGTACAATTTATGATATGGGCTAAAACTTAAGAGAAATAACTAAAAAGACAAAAGTAAAAAGGAAATAATTACATTTTACATAGTTTAATGTCTAATTTGCTGGACAATTGCTCTGTATTTGAGAGTAAGGGATTTTATAACAAAGTTTTAAATGTTCATTAAAACAACAAATTCAGAACAAGTATTCAGGAAAAAAAATTGCTTGCCTTTTGAGATCTTCTGGCCTTCCCCATCCTCTGATAAAAAGTTTTGTTAGGAGAAGTCTCCGGTATAGAATATCTAACTTGCTCACACCCATCAGTAGCAAACAAGCATCTATAAAACAAAATTAAAATGCTTTTAAAATGTTTTATTTTTTTCAAGGCAGCAGGTCAATTCTCTAACCATTTCTTTGACTATCATGTAAAATTAAAGATTCAGACTAAATTCCTGAATTAATTCCTTTGGAAACAAAATACAAGATTTTGGGGAAAAAAAGAGCTGGGTTGAAAAGAGAGAAGATGTATATGCTTGAACTTCACTAAGCTGTGAATTCCTCTAGGGTAGGATCTTCCCATCCTCAGTACAGTTGCTGAAATAAGTACCCTCTATTTGCTGGAAAAAAATAGTAGGGGAATATGTGATAGTGTATTATCTGCCAGGCACCACTATTTTAAGAACTACAAACACATGCACAGGTTCTCATTAAACCTACCAACAATTTTGAGGATGGATTTATTATCCCAATTATACAGACAAGAAAACTGAGGCACAGATAATTTACTACCAAGGTCACACAACTGGTGGAAAACATAGCTAAGATTCAATCCCAGGCACACAGCTCAACATCTAACTACGACACTACACCCTCCTCTACTATACTACAGTGAATGAAAAATAATCATCACTGCTACTACTTGCATACCATTTATCTATCTTCTCAAATATTTCCAAAGATTTTTAAGTATCTACCTCCATCTTGTCAAACTGAATGGTAAGATTTTGATTTGTGGGTGAAACCTGACACAGATTCAGGGTTTACTCTACTTAGATAAATGAAAAATGAAAATCTGCATTTCCTTTTTCAATTGTTTTATTTTTTCTCAGATCTTAGGAAATCTGCATTTCCATCAATGAGCTTTAAGAAGTACTTATCCATTGCTTCAGATTTTTTTGAAACCATTCGTTTTATCTTCTATTTTTACTTTTTCATTTTTTAATAACCTGCAAGACCAACTTAATATTCTCTGTTTGCCTAGGTATAGAATGTAACTCACCATCAATTGGGCTGGCATTTAAGTTATTTTAATGGTTGGACCAGCAAAACCAAGTCATTCATACTGCCTCTTATAATTCTCAGTACCAAGAAGAAACATTTACTAGCTAATGTACTTGTTAGACAAGACAACCTATAGCCAGAGTATAGGATTAAGTGTTTTTAAAAGCACCCATCTCTCTTTTTCCCAGTTTCCATGTGCTCTTCAATGACTCTTTGATAAATGTGTGGTTTAGACATAACAATGTTTGAAAAAATGTATTGCATACACAGTTTTGTTATTATAATATTTATGTCTACCACTATACATAAATAAACTGGTATTAATTACTAGAGTCCTATAAATTATCATTCATCCAGTGTTAAGTGCAGTTCACCATAGATGAACCATCCCTGGGTGGGTTAATAATTTCCTGAACTTCTAAGACTATGTATGATTTTTTTCATTCAACAAATATTTATTAACTGCTTATTATATTCCAATCATTATTTTAGGCCCTGTGCCACAAAAATGACAAAGGAATGGTCTTGTTCTCATTGATCTTAGATTTTAGTTGGGGGAAAATAATTAAAAATTTTAAAAAATCCATCTAACTATCAAAATAAGTAAGAGTAGAAGATAATAACACTATGATTAAAATGAAACAAGGCAATGTGGTAACAACTAAAGGGCTCTTCTGGTAATTTAAAAAAACATTTGAAGAGGTACCAAAAAGGCAATACAGATGCTCCTCAACCTACAATGGGATTGCATCCCAATAAACCCATCATAAGTAAAAAAAAAAATTGTATGTGGAATATACATTTAATACTCTGACAAACTTATGGTCAAAGTCAAAACAATCATAAGCCAAACCATCATAAGTTAGAGACTGTATGTATTTAAGCCAATAGCTACATGACAAGGAGCACTCAAGTCTTTAAATTACAAATCTCATTAAAATCATACACCTCTTGAAATCTACCCATTACTATGTTCCAGTGAATGTGTTGAAAATTACCTACTCAGTGGGTAAAGCACAGGTAGAGATAATTAATATAAGGGAAAGGAAAGAAAAAATAATTACATACTCTTTTTAAATTAAAAAACGCTCACTGTAAAATTCTTAAATTCACCAATATGAAGGTATGTATAGTAAAAATGGGGAAAATAATCCCCTTCCAATCACTTTTTTTTTTTTTTTTTGAGAGGGAGTCTTGCTGTTGCCCAGGCTGGAGTACAGTGGCAGGATCCCAAGCTCACTGCAACCTCCGCCCCTTGGATTCAGGCAATTCTCCTGTCTCAGCCTCCTGAGTGGCTGGGACTACAGGCACCCATCACTATCCCCAGCTAATTTTTGTATTTTCAGTAGAGACGGGGTTTCACCATGTTCGCCAGGCTGGTCTTGAACTCCTGAGCTCAGGTGATCCGTCTGCCTTGGCCTCTCAAAGTGCTGGGATTACAAACGTGAGCCACTGTACCTGGCCCCCTTCCTATCACTTTTAATTTTACTTTTCAGGCATATCTAGTGCTAACAGTTTGGATTCTACTCTTTCTGATCTTTTTCTTGTTGATGTTACTTATTTACCTACACATACTGTCTTGCTCTGTTTTGTGTTGCTATAACAGAGTAACACCAGCTGGGTAATTTGTAAAGAAGAGAAATTTATTTCTTAAAATTCTGTAGGCTGGAAGTCCAAGGCTGAGGGGTAAACATTTGGTGAGGACCTTGCTGCATCATAACATGGGGGAAGTATCACATGATAAGAGAGCAACAGAGAATTGAACTCACTTTTGTAGTAAGCCCACTCTCCAGATAACTAATTCACTTCCAAAATAATAATATTAATCCATCCATGAGGATAAAGCCCTCATAACCTAATCATCTCTTATTAGGACCCACCTCCTAACACTATTGTATTGGGGATTATGTTTCCAACACGTGAACTATGGGGGACACATTCAAGCCACTGCACATACTTTTTTTTTTTTTTGAGACGGAGTCTTGCTCTGTCGCCCAGGCTGGAGCGCAGTGACCGGATCTCGGCTCACTGCAAGCTCCGCCTCCCGGGTTTTACGCCATTCTCCTGCCTCAGCCTCCGGAGTAGCTGGGACTACAG